GAAAAAAAGAGGAGAAGAAAAGAAGGGACAGAAGAAGAAGAAAAGAGGCGGGAAAGGAGGCAACAAAGGAAGGGGCAAGGGGGGAAATAAGGAAGAAAAGAGGCGGCGGAGCAAAAAAAAAGAAGAAAAGGAAAAAGGCAAAGAGAAGGGGGCGGTCCGGTCCGCGCCGGTCAGGGCGAAGCGCGCAGCCCCACGCCCAGGCAAACTTGAGGCCGTTGAGCGAGGTGCGGTGGCCGTCTAGCGTCACCTGGCGCCGCGCGGGATCGGAAAGCGTCGGGCGCCGGTGCGCCGGTGTGCCGATGTGCCGGCGGTGCCGAGGTGGGACGGCTGCGCGGCTCTCGGCTCCAACCAGCGGCTCGTGTGGTGCTCCGGGTGGCGCAGTGGTTTGGGGGCGGCGGCGAGGGGCGGTGGCGGCGAGGGCGGCGGCGGCGGCGAGGGCGGTGGCGGCGAGGGCGGTGGCGGCGAGGGCGGCGGTGGCGAGGGCGGTGGCGGCGAGGGCGGTGGCGGCGAGGGCGGTGGCGGCGAGGGCGGCGAGGGCGGTGGCGGCACCGACACGGGCGCCGCGTGGAGCGCGAGCGCGCACACCGATCCCTATGGGACATGTCCTGGACGTGTCGCGGTCGCGTCCCTCCCCCGTCGGGGAGGCAGCTGCTCTCCGCTCTCTCGCCCCATCTCTCGGCTATCTCTCGCCCCATCTCTCGGCTGTATCTCGCCCATCTCACGCCAAGCCAGAAGCGCAGTACTCCCTCCACTCGGACGCTATCTCGGCTATCTCTCGCCCTGTCTCTCGGCTATCTCTCGCCCCATCTCTCGGCCCATCTCTCGGCTATCTCTCGCCCAGAAGAGGAGGAGGGCCGCTACCCAGACCGCAAGTGCCCGCAGCCGGTGGCCGCCGGCGGCGCTCTTCCCGGCAGGACTCGCGCGCCGGCGACGCGACAGCGAGGGGGGGAGGTCGGCCTCGAACCAGCGGCGCGGCATCAGCCGCGACAGCGCGTCCACGGACACCGTCGCGAGCACCGGAAGCACCTGGGAAGGGGGGGGGGGGGGTCCAGGGGGGGAAAAAGGGAGGGGGGGGGGGGAGGCCCACACACCCAAAAGGGGGGGGGGGGGGACAAAAAAAGGCTGGGTTCTCAAAAAACACCTCCAGGAGAGGGATAGAGACCGAAACCCCCCGAGCCTCTTGAGGGATGGTTTCCGGAACGGGCCTGGAACCGTTTAAGAGCCGTTTAGGACTGGGGTTGGCTCTTGAAGCCACCCCCTCCCACAGA